TTGACCTAAAAGATGCGATATATCGCATGCCAGTTCGACCACTTCTTTTGAGCTTGACGAATCACCTTAAGTGTTTCTTTGGTTTCAATTTCAGTTTCATCTACCAATTTGCTAACTGTTACTGCATATTTCTTCTTCGAAACGTATTTTAAATGCCTAAAACGAATAAATTAAGAAAGTTGGGACTGCGTCCTCTTATAATACACCTACTTTTGCTCGGTAACAGGCAGTAATCTCAGATAAAGTTAGTTTTTCTTCTGCTCATGGTGGTTCTGACGGTTCAAACGGGCCGTTACAGTCGTAGATGACCGTTACTCCCGAATGAAATTAATCGGTCAATGACGGACCAAAACTAACCTAAAGTTATAAAAATATAGGTGTGTAAGTGAATTTGGGCAAAAATCAACCTCAAATACTTTGTTTCCGCAATTTTATTTAGTTCGCGCCCTACATTTGAATTTCAAACTTGTCCCGATTTCGCCGCCAATCCTCTAGCCAATAGTAGAGGTGATTGAAAAGAAGCTTCATTTTTTGCTTTTAGCGCTCCGTCTTGATGTCTTTGGTCCGAAACCCCCCTTAAAATTAGTTTGAAGTAATTTCTGTGATTTTTACTTAAAAGTGCTTACAATTTGGTAAATTTTCCCGTTTTATTTCTTTCTTTACGATGATTTGAACCGGAGTTATGATTTTTAGAAAATAGGTCAAATTTGACCTTTGACCTATCATAACTCGGTCAGAAATTAAAATATTGATCTGCGGTTTGTGCCAAAATTCTTAGTTTTTTATGTTCTTTCAAATGATGTATCACAAGATAGGGGTTACCATTTAAAAAAAAAAAATTTGGGGGCCCCCGCGCCCCTCCTGAGGGGGGTACAACAATTTTGACCCCCCCCCCCCTTAGAAGATGGTCCCCTTTAAGATAGAAACATTCCCAAAGTTTCATTTTCTACCTCTAACCGTTCAAAAGTTACGAAGGGGGGTACGGACTTTTGGGACACCCTGTACGTAATTGGCTCAAAAAAATCGGAAATGAAGTGAGCCAGGGTCCGATATGTTAATGAGTATATTGTCTATCCGTTAATAGAGCTGTGTTTTTTCGGCCAAAGAACTTTGCTGGCCCCGGTTCTGTTTAAATTGTGGGAAATGGGCATATGACTTTATATCTCTTAGTAGGGTAATAGACGAATTTCAAGGGCACGAATGGATTCTGATGGGAGATTTCAATTCCAGAATTGGAAACCTGCAGCTATTTCCGGCTGAATTGATGGGAGACCAAGTGGCAAGGAAATCGGAGGTGTGTAGAACATCAGGACCTGTTAGATAAATTTTCCTAGACCTGTGGTAGTGTGTTACTCATGCATTTTGAGACGCTGAATCCGAATAACCTCCGTATTATCCAGCACTTTCAACTTTTCCAAAAAAGCCGATTTTACTCGGAAAAATAGCAGTTTTTGGTGCTTTTACGATTGTAACCCCCTGCAGAATGTGGGTGAATGTGTTCTCAGGTTCAAGATAGAGGTAGTCCGATGTATTTTAGTTGCTAAGTCCGAGAATGGCCTTTATTTTTCCCTTTCACCTCTCAATTTTCCGGAGAAGCAACATTTTCCCGGAAAAATGAGCAAATTTGATGTACATTTGTCGTGCATGCAATTTACTTTTATAAATTTTCCTTTACCCGTGGTAGTGTGTAACTTATGTAATTTGGGCTTCTGAATCCGAATAAGACCTCGGTTTTTTTCTATCACCATTCAGTTCTCCGGTAAATCCGATTTTACGAGCCGAAAATTGTGTAAAAGCTTTCTGGGACTATAAAAGTGTATTAAAAATTAAAAGACATTTTAAAAATGTCTCCGAATTGTGACACATCTATTCCTATGTATTTTCAACTGTGGAATCCAAATACGATCTCAGATTTTTCTCTTCACCCATCCTTTCCCCGGAAAAGTCGCTTTTCCCTAGAAAACGCTTTTTATAGGTATTTTTGCAATGATTTTCCTGATGAGGGAAAGCTTTTATCATGTACTTATCACTCATTGCAAGACAAAATGGTCGCACAGAGGGAGGGGTCTTCGCTGACTGAAGTGTTTTTTGGAGAATCAATTGAAGGCAACAAGGAATTATCCTTGTACATACGTCTGCTACACTGCAAAGAAAGGTTTTCAAACGCAAATATCTAGGTTCCTTCTCATAGGATTTAAGTGATTCTCTTTGCGTCAAACCTAAAATGAAATTTATTTTAACCTTTTGAGGTTCTAACAAAGTCTACTAGGTGCTACTAATCTGCTACATTATTGCAGGGTTTTTGACTGACCTACGTTCAGAAACTATAAAATGAAGCACAATACTTTAACGTAAATTACCATCAGGAGAAAAAGCAGATATATGGGTTCAACATTTAAAAATGATCATCTAAAAGTCATAAAAATACTTAAAAAGAAAAATACTTGTTTTATGCGGTAATTAACATAAATCAAAGTCATACAATCAAGAGGCACTTGATTAACAGCTAACTTTCTATTGAGCTCTGTCAGACAACTGTTTCAGAGGACTAATCCTCTAGTAGGTCTTCTAATCTTTGCGCTTCAATATCTTCTCACCATAAAAAATTGGAAATTAGGTTTTCATGAAAAATTACAATAAATTGCGTAATTTAGGATTCTTGCTGAGATAGTCTCGCAGTTTGATTTTCACGCTGTACAACCAACATTTGTTGGGCTCTTGAAAGAAGACACTTTCTTCAAAAAGAAGAGCCTCATAGAGCCTATTTGTTCATTTAAATTATTTTAATAAAAGTCACTGCATAAACGTCTAATTCCATTCTTCTTAACAAGTGTTCAAGGTACAAGTGACAAGGGTCTTGGGGCGATTGAAAGTTCAGGAGTCATATGGAGTCAAAATTGACCCTATGCAAATGGGTCAGTTACGCTGGTCACAGAATTGTGTTTTGATGCTTGATTCTTGTAGATCAGCTAAAAATATTCAGATCTGCCCGAACCGCAACTTTCTACGTTCGATATTAACCGAGATATCGCCCTTTGAAAAGTCGGGTTTTTGACGTCATCCACCGCACTAGTGACACCCTTGGTTTCTTCCACCTTGCTTTCATCTGCGTTTCTCGTAGAGTAGCCGGTGCTTGTGTCTCCCTGACTGATAAAACCAAGGTGTAAGAAACCAAGGGTGTCACTAGTGCGGTGGATGACGTCAAAAACCCGACTTTTCAAAGGGCGATATCTCGGTTAATATTGAACGTAGAAAGTTGCGGTTTGGGCAGATCTTAATATTTTTAGCTAATCTACAAGAGTCAAGTATTAAAAAACGATCCTGTGACCAGTGCAACTGACCCATTAGATAACCTATAACTCATGATTCTCTTTCTAAGACCTTCGACATGATAATCCAATTTTTGGCACTTGACAGTTTTTCTCGAAAACTTGGCAACACAGCAAAAAGGTATGTAACGCCCTTAATCCTACTCTTTTTATGTCAATGTGGCAATCAAATTTGGAATCCGAATTTCTGTTCCCGCAGTACCACCGGTGCAATTTCAGACATTTCATGAAAACTAAGGCCCCAATATCTCTTGATAATAAGGAGGTATACAAGTAAAAAGGTTCAACCTTTGACTCCCTGTGCTTTCCCCTATGGTTTCGGGGATTATGTTTCTTGGGAATGTTTCCTCCTGCAGATACAACATCTTGATGCTCTCCAATCTAGACTCACCAACCACCAAAGTTCCAATATTTACTTTCCCAACCAGTGTCTCCGTTGCTTGCAATTATGGAAGTTAACAGACCTCAAAGCTCATATTGGATACCTATCATTTCGACGATATTGTTCCATTGTGTGTAAAATACTGAACAATTCAGGAACATAAACATGGAACATAAGACACATTCCTAGAGTCCTGTCATTTAACCGTGGGACGCCCTGCATGCTGACACTTCTTTGATCAGAAATGAGTCACTGTCATTGCTGATCCTCTGCAGTGGAAGATCACTCTCAATCTAAGGCCTGAATCAACATTTCCCTTGATTAAATACTATAGAATATTGAATATATTTTTGAAGAGGATTAGTTTGATAATTTTTAAGATAGAATTTAATACTATGTACTTGATAGAACACCTTTTTTGAAATACTGGATACCTAATAAGAGCTCTGACGTCTGCATACTGTTACACTTGCAAGGAAGGGGGACAGTGATAGAAAAAGCTGTATATATTTGGACTCTAATGGTTAGTGCACCGAGTTAGGAAAGCAGCGGATTCTACATATTGCATCTGCGATTGATAACATTGCTGAAAAACTTACTATTCAAAAGCGTTTGGAGATCTGAAAATTTCAGAAAAGAAAAGTTCAAGTTTGAGTGATCAATGGACAAAATTTGGAGGAATGGAGATGGTGCATGTGTGAGGGATTTGCAATTTGACTGTTGTTTCTTATGTAAAAGTTCGCGAGAAACACAATGGTGCCACTGGTTTTCTCTGAAATCAACTCCAAAGCGCAAAAAAAGCTCTCAAAGTGAGGCCAAAATGGAGGGGATATCCCACCCTACCCTGAGAGTCCAACTCTACATCAAAACAAACTCTCCATGCAAAGATAGGGAGCAAATACATTGACAGGGCTGCCACTTCATATGGGGACTCCAAAACTGAAAACACAGCAACCCTGCTAATGTATTTGGTCCCTATCTTTGCATAGAGAGTTTGTTTTGATGTAGAGGTGGACTCTCAGGGTAGGGCGGGATATCCCCTCCATTTTGGCCTCATTTTGAGAGCTTTTTTTGCGCTTGGGAGTTAATTTCAGAGAAAACCAGTGGCACCATTGTGTTTCTCCCGAACTTTTACATAAGAAACAGCAGTCAAATCGCAAATCCCTCACACATGCAACGTCTCCATTGCAGGGAGGGGGGGGGTGGGATTTTTGAAACATGCTCTTGCACATTCTCAATTTTACACTATCATGGAAATACGAGATATGAGACTAAATGACTGAAAAATATTGCGCTGTTCAAGGAGTATAATTGATTTAATGAGAAAGGGAAGTTAATTAATGAATACTATTAAGTGTTGCGAGTAAGACAGGAAGAAATAGAGTGCTTAAATGAAACAATTGAAACCTTCCATTTAAGACAAACATTTTTGACTAGATTTCTCCTTTGAGCTTGCAGATGTCTTAGGATTGATTTGGCTTTCGTTAAATAGTAATGAAAGTATGTCAATTAGACGTAAATAGGTTTCTCTCCGGACAGGGGCTGTGAATTTATTCACTAAACATAAAGTTGCCGCTGCAGCAAATACAATATTGTAAAGAAAAACAATTTTAAAGTTACCTAACCATTCAATTTGACCAAAATCACCTAACAGGTCAAAATTTGTGATACCGAGGATTCTTGATAAGAGAGGTAAGGCAGAGCTGAGAATTACTAATAATGCACAGTTAGAAATGATGTGAGTTAGTGGAGTCTCTTTATTTTTTGGACGTACCTTCGTTAGTATGGGTAAAGAATATAGTCCAACAAAGGATGTTAAAATTAAAAAAAATATAAGAATGATTTCTACAGTTGCACCAATAAGGCCGAGTTTTGAAAGGGAACTAATGCCTAGTGTGAACTGCCTTGTACTAAGTGGTAAAGCTTTAATACCTATGAGTAATTCAAGGGTATTTTGAATAACTAATAAAACAGTCATAACAGTTAAAGCCAGCAATGATACCATTGCTATTGGATAAAGCAAATTTCTTTGCCAAAAAGCAGTTTGCTTTTTCATTTCTAGGACGGCTCGAGTTTTTTGGGCTACCTCTAATTTTTCTAATAGACCAGCTTGCAAAGCACCATTTTGAAGGTGTAAGACATTATCGCTGTTTGTGGCAGAAAACATTGGAGGGACTGATAAGTACGTCTTCCCTGTTTTTGTTGCTTGAATCAACTGCCTTTGAACTGTTTCCTCGTTCATTTTTGCAACTTCATACTTTTCATCTAAATCACTAAGAAACTGTGGTTTAATCAATACTCTTCCAACCAAAGAAAAAAGCCTTACAAACCCTAATGGTGTGCTAAGTAATAGCATTAAGACTCCAACAAATGAAATGCACGAGTACAGAAAAGGCAAATAGTAACTCCATAAATTTAGGAGTGTTTGGAAGCTTGAATTACTCCCATCAATCCAAGCAGATATTACATACATAAAGCCAAGAACAACAACACCCAACAGAAGTAATACTGTAAATGTCTCATAAACTCGTGACCAAACTCCCTGAAAAAATAAAGAGGAAAAAACAAGAATTAGCATAAATGGTTCAGTGAAATACATGGATTGTTCCAAATGTAGTGCAACAATTGCAATTACCAGTGTGAATGGACAATCTTTTGACATCTCATTCGGACAAGTAACAAGAAATAGTTCTGAAAATTTAAAAATGCCTCTTCAAGCTCATTTCTTTGAAAAAATTTTGAGATGAAGTCTTTCCAGGCAATGCCCCCGCCCCCTTTTTTTTTTTGCAATTCTTCCTGACATTTTCGGGATATTTTACAAGGGGAAAAAGGTGGTTCCTTCATTGACAAGGATAATGCACATATGACTCGAGCCTAACGACCAACCATTAACAGTGCTTAGCATTGTCAAATATTCCAGACCCTCCAAAGGCAATTTGCCTGAGAGAGTCTGACCCCCCAAAATAATAAATTCAAGCGCACAGTTCATAACTTGTTAATTTTTGAGGAAATGGGATTAATTTAATGTCAATTGATCAGAGATAATGTAAGTTTTAAAATGGGACCAAGATCAGCTCAGTGCTCAGTGGCTATTGTAGTTGTGGAACCACAGCATTAGTCTGAGAACTTCTTGTTGAAATCGTAGATGTTGATGTAATTTTCACATCAACAGATTCTTATCTATGTTAACAAAAAATTTGTTTAGTGCTTTCCTTGCTAAAGATGCGCACCTCTCAATGATTCTTGGTGATTCGGTGGTGGTTGATCAGTCATAAATGTAACAGCTCAAGTGGTGATTGGAATATATATGTTGAATGCAAACCAGGTGTTTCTTATTCAACCCCAGTATTTTCATGCAATTTTAAAGCTTTAAGGACACTCAACTTACAGTAAAATAAAACTAGATTCCTTATAATGTATGATCTTCGAAAAAACTAGTACTAGATTACTGACAGTGCTTATCTCATCACTGCTGGCAATACAACAATTCCGCTGCCTGATTGACATTGACAGAGATAGTGCTGGCCAACAGATTTTTTAAAGTTAGGAGCCCAGTAATCTAGGACACTCTTTTTTATACAGGGTTATCCAAAAGTCACCTACCACCCCTGTAACTTTTTTCCTAATTGAGATAGAAGTTTGAAACTTTGGGAACGAATCTTTCATTGGATTTTTGAAAATTTTAAAAACTTTTATCCCGTATTGGGGACTGATGTCACAGGTTTAGCAATCCTGCGGACCCCACCTGGTAGCCCCTGCCTCAAAGGGGGCTTGGAGTTGGTCACCGGCTTTTAGGCGTAGGAATCACCCAAGGGAAGGGCAGACAGGGCTCTTAGCTGCAGTGAAGGCAACCGGTCTAGGAGAGGCAACTCCGAAATCAAACCCTGGTCCTCCAGGTTGGGGGTTGAGTCATCGGGCTAACTCCCCGATACTCGGAAAAAGAAAAACTGTTAAAAGACCCAACAATTGCCTCGGTACAAACGGAAATAAACGGATTTATCGGAAAAAATTACGAAAAAGGATGATGGTTTTTGGAACTTGGAATATACAAGGAATTTCTACAAAAATGACGGAAGTGGTATCGGAGATAAGGAGTCACGGATTTGATGTCGCAGTATTAACGGAAACAAAGAAAAAAGGACAAGGCTCTGTAAGTGTGAATGACTACGATTTGTTTTATAGTGGCGTCGAAAAAGATCAGCGAGCGCAGCAGGGTGTTGCAATTCTTACTCGCAAGAGCCTGCGGAAGTGCATTACTACATGGGGAGCTGTTAACCCCCGAATGATAAAGATGAATATGGCAGTGTTTGATCATAAAATCACCATTTTGGGAGTTTATGGAGTCAACGATGATTCTACTGTCGCAGTGAAGGACCAATTTTTTGAAGAATTGAACGAGGAGATTGGCAAGATTGGATCCAGGAGGGAAATCATTGTGTTGGGAGATCTGAATGGGAGAGTAGGACGACAAGTTAAACCTAAGATCGTCGGCCCTTTCGGAGAGGCGACAATAAATGATAACGGAGCTCGTATCATCGACGTATGTGAGCAAAGGGAGATGAAGGTGCTCAATGGGTTCTACCAACACAAAGATATTCATAAATATACTTGGGTCCAGTCCACTCGCAGGTTAAAATCAATCATTGTTTATGTGGTGGTCAGGCAAGACACGGAGATGAAGATTCAGCAAGTTAGAGTGTGGAGAGGTCTTTCCTGCGGCAGTGATCATTACTTCCTCGGGGCGAAAATAGCTTTTCCAGTTAAAGGGAGCCAGGAGAGCAGGCAAGCACAAAAGCAGGTTCACCAACAGAAAGATCATGTCAAGCTTGTAAGTTATAATATTGACAGCTTGCAGCATCCAAGTGTAAGGGCATTGTACGGAAAGCGCTTGGATGAGAAGTTGGGCGAATCAAGGCACAGTGATACCGAACAGCAGTATCAGTTCCTTAAGGATTGCATTCATTCGGCAGCGATGGAGGCTCTTGGTATTGCTAATGATAGAAAAGTTAGTGAAAAACCTTACTGGTGGGATGAAGAAATTGAGAAGGAGATTCAAGAGAAGCGGAAAAAGTACCATCAGTTCCTTTCTTCTAAAAAAGCAGAAGACAAACAGGCGTATAGAGAAGCTCAGACGCAGGTGCGAAGGCTCATCACCAAGAAAAAGAACGAATCTTGGGAGAGGAGCTGTAATCGAATAGACTCGTGCATAGGAGGGAGGAAAAGTACTGAGAGCTGGAAGTTGCTGAAAGGACTGCGAAGAGACATGAAGTGGGACTTAATATCTCCGATATCCATTGATAAACTGGAGGGTTATTTTAAAAATTTACTGACAGAAAGGCGACCTGAATTTCAAGATGGAGGTGTAAGCTTGGGGTAAACTAATGATAATAATAACTTGGAGATTCACATGAAGGACGTGGTAAAGGCCATACGAGAGCTGAAGAACGATAAAGCTCCGGGTCCGGGAAATATTCCTGCAGAGTTGATCAAGTGTGGAACCTGCAAGCTGTTTCAGCGTTTGAGAGATCTGATGCAAGATTGCTTGGCAGGTGGCAAGGTACCGATCGAATGGAAAGAGTCTTGGGTGTCACCTATATACAAGAAGAAGGGTCGAAAGGATGAGTGCGATAATTATAGAGGACTGTCAGTCGCATGTACCCTAAGCAAGGTATACGGAAAAATTCTGAAAGCTAAAATCGAAGATGAGTGGCAAGAACATGAAGCGGAAGAGCAAGCAGGTTTCAGAGCCGGTCGGTCAACAATTGATCACTTATTTACCATCATCCACGTGATCGAGAAAATGAAAGGATTAGGCCAAGAATTACATCTAGTGTTTGTGGATCTCCAGAAAGCTTACGATAGTGTGCCATTGATGAAACTTTGGGAAGCCTTGAACAAGAGGGGTTTTAGTGGGGGGACTAATTAGTGCAATAAAAGAATTTTATGATGGGGCGTTTTCTAGGGTTAAATCTCATGGGGAGTTATCGTTGGGGTTTTCAATTACGAAGGGACTCAAACAAGGATGTTGTTTGTCACCAACCTTATTTAAAGTGTGCCTGGAAGAAGTTTTAAAAGAATGGAAAAGATGCTGTTCAGGAATGGGCGTCCCGCTACGAGAAAATGGCACCCTTTATACTCTGTGCTTTGCTGATGATCAGGTGGTAATAGCTCAGGACGAAGAAGATGCGAATTACATGACGCGTAAGTTAGTGGAAGTCTACCGTAAGTGGGGGATGGAAGTTAATGTGGTAAAGACGGAGAAGTTGGTTATCGGTGGTGATCAGCAAAGCATTGAACTGAAGGATGGTCGGAAAATTCAGGACTGTGAAGAGTATAAATATCTGGGAGTATGGTTAACGAAGGATGGAAATTTAGATCGGGCCATTAAAGATCGGAATGTACAAGGCAGGGAAGCTATCGCGATGCTAAATGGGGTTCTCTGGGACCAGAGCATCTCCAAGGAGACCAAAAGAAAAATTTACAACGTCATCGTGAAGAGTATCGCAACTTACGGGAGTGAGGTCTGGCAACTCAAGAAAAGAACTGAAGATATGCTTAGGGCAACCGAGATGGGCTTTTGGCGAAGGTCTGCTGGGATATCGAGAAGAGAGCGTATCCGCGATGAGAAGGTACGCGAGATAATGGGTGTGGAGAAGGACATTGTGCACGATATCAGGTCCAAGCAGTTGGTCTGGTATGGACATGTGCGAAGGATGGCAGATGATCGGTTGCCCAAGCAGGTCTTCGATTGGGTTCCTCCCGGAAGGCGACGGCGTGGACGTCCTGTGAAAGGTTGGCGACAAGGGGTGGAGGAGGAGATCAGAAGGTGCCAATTGCCTGATGATCTCTGGGAGGATAGGGGGCAATGGCGATTGGGCGTCGCAGAGCGCGAGGCGGCGCTATAAAAGCGGCTTTATGTATGTATGTATGTATGTATGTAAAAACTTTAAAATGACGGCGAAAAAATGACGGAAAATCCATATCACGGCTGTTTACCGATGGATTTGCACAAGAGTCAATACTCTGGTGGTTTTTGGCTCGAAAAAAATTAATCTTTCATTAGATTTTTGAAACATTGAATATCGTCAAAATGGTGGCGGAAAAATAACGGAAAATCCGCATCCACCATCGCCATTCGCATTTTTGCCGCCGTTTTAAAGTATTTAAAAATTTCAAAAATCCAATGAAAGATTCGTTCTTCTCGTGCCGAAATACCCCCGGATACCAAGTTTCATACAAATCCGACGATAGGCAGCCTAAATATCCACTTTCCGCTCTAAGCCGCCATTTTAACCGCCGCCATTTTGAAAAGGACTGACATTTCCGGAAAACCAACCCCAGAATCGTTTTTCTCGTCCCGAAAAACCTTGGGATTCTGAGTTTCAGACCAATCCGTCGATAAAAAACGGAGATGCCAAATTTCCGCCATTTTGAACTTCGACCAGCCGCCATTTTGTCAAAAATCAACACTTTGACCTGCGGTTTGCGCCAAAAATTTTCTTTTTTTATTATCTTTCGAATGAAGTATCAAAAAAGGGGGGTTGCCATTTGAAAAAAAAAAGTTAGCCCCCGCCCCCCTTAAGGGGGGCCGCCTCCCAAAATTTTGGGGGGACCAAAAAGTTGCTACCTTAAACCGAGGAACATTCTCAAAGTTTCAAACTTCTATCTCAATTAGAAAAAAAGTTACAGGGGTGGTAGGTAACTTTTGGACAACCGTGTATGTAGATAATACAGGGTGATCCAAAAGTCCCTTCCACCCCCTCTAACTTTTTACCTAATTGAGATAAAGATTTGAAACTTGGGGGATATTCCTAGGTCAAAGGAAGCTACTTTTCGGCCCCCTAAAATTTTCAGGGGGGCCCCTCTTGGGGGGGCAACGGCCCCCAACTTTAAATTTTCAAATGGGAAGACCCCCTTCGTGATAGCTCGTTCGAAAGAGCATAAAAAAAGAAAACTTTTCGCGCAAACCCGAAGTCAATATCTCAAACCGTTTTAAAATGGCGGCCGGTTAAAGTTCAAAATGGCCGAAAATTGGCACCTCTGCTATTTGCACATGGATTTGCGCGAAAATCGGTATGTTGGGGTATTTTGACAAGAGAAAAACGAATTTGACGTTAGATTTTCAAAAAACCGAAATTTCCAAAATGGCCGCCGGTTCAAAATGACCAAAAATTTATTTTATTATAAATCTAAGTTCAAGTTTGTTTATCTTATGTCAAAATACTCTCCAATTCCAAGTTTTAGGCAAATCCATCGGGAAAAAACCAAGGTGAAAATTTTCGGCCATCTTAAACTTTAACCGGCGGCCATTTTGGAAATTTTAGTTTTTTTGAAAATCTAACGTCAAATTCGTTTTTCTCGTGTCAAAATACCCCTGCATACCGATTTTCGCGCAAATCCATCGACAAATAACCGGTGTGAAATTTCGGCCATTTTGAAACGGTTTGAGATATTGACTTCGGGTTTGCGCGAAAAGTTTTCTTTTTTTATGCTCTTTTGAACGAGCTATCACAAAGGGGGTCTTCCCATTTGAAAATTTAAAGTTGGGGGCCGTTGCCCCCCCCAAGGGGGGCCCCCCTGAAAATTTTAGGGGGGCCAAAAAGTAGCTCCCTTTGACCTGGGAATGTCCCCCAAGTTTCAAATGTTTATCTCAATTAGATAAAAAGTTAGAGGGGGTGGAAGGGACTTTTGGATAACCCTGTATAAAGTAAGCTTGAAGAGTCATATTGTCATGTTATGGAGCCTAAATTGTGACAAACTTGATTCCTTCCCTCCCTCCCTCCCTGTTCACAACAGGACCAGTAAATTGAGGTGACGTCCATTTGGCGACTTGTCATTGAGTGAAATGGGAGGGCGATAGTGAGCATATTATTTGCACCCACCGACATCACTAGGTACACTTAAAAATTATTTAAGATGATCTTTTGCTTTCCACTATATTTCAAGAAGTACAAAAGATTTTAAGTAAAAGGGGAGCTCTGCCCCCACACCGCCTCGCGGTCCACCCCCTTGAAGTGTTTTGCACCTCAAGTCTTATGTGTAACACGATAATCTTATGATTCGGTATTGTAGGCTACCTATGATATGTGTATAGTATAGTGTGAATTTTTTTTGCTATATTCACTATTTTTGAGTTATTTGGAGACAAAATTGTAACCAGTGACGTTATATGGCTGTTAAGATTGTACATAGCACTTTCTGCTTTTTTTCTAAAGCTGGTCGTGGTGACTGCCACATTGAAGGATAGAGATTTTTTTAAGAATCTCAGTCCTAAAGTGCTCAGAAATTGGGGCATGGGCAAATGTTTATGTCATACAATATAATATATTATACTATTAGTGTAATACAGTTAATAAAAAAATGGTCCCTGGATCGAATCATGAGCTAGGGTGATTTGGCTTGTAATTTGGAAAGAAAAATTAGGGTCTTCCAAAATTTTAGGAGATCTCAAAAGTAGTTCCTTTTGGCCCAGGAGCACTCCCTAATTTTTAAGTTTCTAAATAAAACAATGGAAGAGTAAACAGGGAGAAATGGTCTTTTATGAAACACTGTATGGTGCAAATATTCAACCACATGTAGAGCACTGTAAGAACTACAGAAGTCAAAGGAGGAACTCCGGCCAATTTTGGCAATACAAAGGTCGAAAGGTCGAAGGAATGTTCCCAATCAATTTAAAAGATAAAAGGGGTAAGTGCAGATTGGGTCCAATCTTGCTCGTAGCAAATGCCTTAGAAACTAGCCTCATTTGATCACTAAACAATGACCTATGAGCATCCATCCCACAGTATCAAGCAGCCCCCTCCCCACAAAAAAATTTTTTGGAAGACACCGNGGGGGGGGGGGGGGGGGGGGTGTTATACGAATTGTCCTTTCAAAAAAAATATCATTATGCTGTCATTGTCTTATGTTGTCTACAGCAACTTAGATTTTAAAAAGAAGTATAAATCCTTGCAACAAAAGTTTTCGTTGAGAGTCATTGAATTCAGTGTTTCTATATTCCGACTTGAGGAGCATTTTTACTGACCACCCCCCTACCAACCTATTATGAGAAACATTAGAGCTACTCTGAGGTACACTTACTTTCCGCTGGCCAGCAAATCCCTCCGATTCAGTGAAGAGGTAAGCAAAGGGTAAAAATATAAAGAGAGAGAGGTTTGATGAGAGGAAAACGACATTCCATAGACCTGAAATTTAAATCACAAAGAATTATAAATGTATCACAATCATTTTCATTGTCAAGGAGATAAATAATCGATAGACTAAATTAGCTAGAAAAGAGAAACAAATCTTTGCTTTTTTTTTTGGGGGGGGGGGGCATTCACCTACGTTTCTTAGGATAAAATAAAGTTAAAAAGTTAAATTTGCAATGAAAAAAAATCGTCGCAGGCTTTAATCAGATGGTGCAAAAAATGCTGATGTCCATTTTTCCTAACTTTGAAGGAACTGGAAAAACTACTAGCTTTCCCATCACAAGATTGAATGCTAAATGAGAGATAATTACTCTGATAGTAAACTGTAGAAAAGGGTTTGTACTGGTCCTCTCCTTGCCAAAACTGAGTAAGGAAAATCATATCTTGGAGGAGACTTATTAGTAAAACATAGAAAAAAACAAGCCCCCCTAGATTTTCTGAAAAAATAATTCATACAGAGATGAAACTAAATCTACTCAGGTATGAACACATAGTTAGAAATATGAATTATGATGAGGAAGGAAACTTTAGTTCTGATACTTGAAACAAATAATTTCGAAATATTGAATAATATAAAAGAATAAATATGACATTATTTAAATTTGAGAACCGACAATGAAATAAACAAGTCATGAAACTATTGAATAAAATATAACCGAAAAAATTTACCTTGAATAAGGGAGTGATTCAACCATTTCACATAGTAACTGTTGGGGTACAAAAGGAGTACTTCATTGCTGGCAATGGAAAATGGGAGCAGCAATGCAGCACAAATTGCAACAGAGAGGCTGAAAGTACAAAGTGCAAGACTGCAACAGAAATACAACGCTAAAAAATACATTACCGACTCATTCACAAAAATATGTTATGAACCGGGGACAAAAAGAGAAATAACACTCAATATATTTAACATAAACAACTAGATAAGTAGGTACCATCACTTTCAACCCAGCATCTAGTCCTTAAGTATTTTACCTTTGATCCTTAAATTCTATTTTGTTCAGATATTTTTTCTTATTCTCGTTTAATTTTGTTACTTCATTTGCATTTTCTTTTCTCCTGACATCCTACTCTATTTTTTGAACCCTATTTCACCTTCTACTACATATAAGGATCCGATGATGATAGTGGGGTGAAAATGACGACTTGACCAGGTAAAAAATCCAACAGCGTTGCAGGATGGTGCAGAAAAGTACGAATTAAATTACAGTGTTGTATGATGATTATTGTTCAATATGGCAACGCTGTAAAGAAGAAAGTATTGCATGTTGCCCCTCCAATATGCGGGTTATTCAATGGTGTAATGTAGCCCCTTCAATATGCTGGATATGCAATGGTGTATTCTTCAAGATGGCGGTTACAGCGTTGCCGGACGGTGCACTTAAAGAAATGATTTAATGATTGGTGGAATTTTGCAACATCGAATTTTACAGTGTTGCCAGATGCTGCAAGAAATTAGTTAATTTTTCGATACAATGTTGTCAGATTGTGCAAAAAAAATTCGGATTTTCGGACTTGTAAAAATTTTCGGTTTCGAAAGACCGTCTCCTACAGTATGGGCCTGGTATCGGAGACTGGAGAGTAGGGTCTGATTCGGGAAATTGAAAAATTTTCGGAAAATTACCCTCCTCCGATCCGCCGCGGACGGATGCGATTCTTTTCCATTATCGAGGATCGGAAAACTGTACGGACCGAATTTCGATACGACTTTTTGTTTTCGAGATTTCGGACTTGTAAAATTTTCGGCTTCGAAAGACCGTATCTTACAGTATGGGTCTGGTATCGGAGACTGGAGAGTAGGGTCTGATTCGGGAATTTCCATTTTCAGTAGTGTGCGCTTGGAGATGCGTATGGGAACCTTGTGTTTTGCGATGTGCGACTGGGATTGGATATTGCAATATTCAGTTTGATGAAT